CCTGCTTTGTTTTTAGTAACATTCAAAAGACCTCCAGGAGAATACGGCTGTACTGTAGCCAGGCAACGGACCTCTAACAGACTGAGGGGGAGAAAAGATGGGGTGATGGTTTCAAATATCTAAAACTGCAATCAGAATGCGCTGGGGTTTGTGTAGTGAACGCACATTTTAACACTCTACGTTACAATGTCCATGTTACACATAAATATAAGTAATTAAATAAATAGCAGTATTACTCACAAACTATAAAGTTTCCACAAAATCAATCCATATTACTCAGAACGACCGTGTAATTAAACTGTATGTGTGACCAGACATAGAATTTTCATGCAAACTTTGAGGTTATATATTTGTTGGGTACCAGGCAGTAATTTCAACCCGTTAATAAACAAGCATCTAAGCATTATGACTACGTAATAACAAAAAATAAACTAAGCTTCTTTGTCATATGTAATAAATCCATGTATATTTATAAATAGCTGCAAAAAAAAGGTCCTTAGGTCTTAAGGACAGTCTGTCACGTGACACAGGTGGGAGTGGGGCTCGCTTAACCTCAGTGTGAAACTTATGGTCTAATATAAGGTGAGTTCAGATCTTTGTCATATGTAATAAATCCATGTATATTTATAAATAGCTGCAAAAAAAGGTCCTTAGGTCTTAAGGACAGTCTGTCACGTGACACAGGTGGGAGTGGGGTTCGCTTAACCTCAGTGTGAAACTTATGGTCTAATATAAGGTGAGTTCAGAAAAAAAAAGTGGGATATAGTTCTTCAAGTAGTTGTTTTGATCCTGTAAACATCTGGAAGCAATCAAATGCAGCAGTCGCTAATAATTGCCAATAAGTTTGAATGACATATAATGTCTAACAACAGTGTTCAGAACTGTAGAATTATCACACTGAACTTATATTAAATGTTTATTTGATAAATTAGCATTTGGAGGGGTTGTGGCACAAAACAAAAATATTGAGAAGAGTTGGAATCTGACAAGAACTACGTTACTTTTGCACTGAAACATCAGAATGAAAATTAAAATGTAAAAATAGATTCATTTATCATCAAAATTAATCTAAACATTAGCAATTCAAGCCGAATTTAAAATAGACATAAAAAAGTATATATATATATATATAATTATATAATGCCTATAATTAGACATGAATGTTGGTCAGTTTTATCCAGTATGAATGAATTTATAACACATGATTTAGTGAGCAAAATAGTTGTTACTTATTTTTTCATATGCAGTAATATTCCTGTAAAACATTCAATACAATGTTGACATTACGGCTACTTACAACTGCATTATAATTTTTATTATATATAAAACCCTTTCCCAGCGGTTACGAATCGGATAGTTTTATGATAATACATGTGTGGGCTATGTGAGAAAGAAAAGTTGTCATTTAAACGTCCCCAAATCCATGACCCAGGACATTAATGAACTTTATGTAAGACTTATGGCCTATGACCCGGGATATTTTTTCAGCTTTGAGTTTCTGTTCGGTCTCTCGTGGATCCATCTGCTCCTCTCGCGATAATGAGTCCGGATATATTAGGAGCAAAACACGAGCACTCGCCCATTTGAAGGGGCGTCGCTTGGGTTCTTATAGGGTCCTTTGGTGGTGAGACTGTCATTCAGGAGATCGGACATCATGTCTGACGCGGTGATTAGCTTTTTGAAAGATTTCTTGGCCGGTGGTGTGGCCGCTGCCATCTCCAAGACAGCTGTGGCCCCCATTGAAAGAGTCAAACTTTTATTGCAGGTACGTTTAAAATCAGGGAAAAAAAATAATAAAAATAATAATTCACAATTATATCAAATAATCTCGTAAATAGCTCGAAAAAGTTGCATGTAAGTCACAGTTGCATAAATTAAAAAGAGGGTGCCATGATCTTGCATAAGTTAGTTAACATTTTTTAGTAAATTAATCAATTAATTAAACATAATAGAGTAAACAAGAAAAAAGGTTTTACTGATAATGCACAGAAAAATTATGGCGCTGTCCATGGTGCTACTTCATTAAGCGTTACTGAAAAAAAGTGCAATTTCAGCACAGAGTAAGTTTAAGTAATCTTTGATTAATGTTATTTGTCAATTAAGAAGTGCATTTCCTAAACCGTCACTCTTTCCATCAGTGCCAGAGTTCATAAAGGCCAATCATGTTTGTTAAGACCGTGACTGTGAAGAGCAGCGATATTTGGTGTAAGTTTAAAGTTAAAAATAGTCTGGAGGCTGCAACCCAATACTCAAACCCCGCGCGCAAGTGGGGAGTGACGCCAAGTGCAGCGCGCACGTGGTCAGGCTGATTCCTGAGTATAAAGAATTCAACTCTGAATTCTTCCATTTTTACTTAAAATCAAAGACAACTTTTGGGGTTTCCCATACAAGTTGATCATGCAACACTGGCAGTGAGCATGCATGATATTACATCTCGATAATCCATGACATATCCCAAAATTCACATCTGATGTGATCACAATGATATAAAGCATGCCATCTTCCACTTACCAATCCAAACTCTGCTGCCTCGCAGGTCCAGCATGCCAGCAGACAGATCACAGTTGAGACACAGTACAAAGGCATCATGGACTGTGTAGTGAGAATTCCCAAAGGGCAGGGATCCCTGTCTTTCTGGAGAGGCAACCTCGCTAACGTCATCAGATACTTCCCCACACAAGCCCTCAACTTTGCCTTCAAAGACAAGTACAAGAAGATCTTCCTTGGAGGAGTGGACAAGAATACCCAGTTCTGGCGTTACTTTGCCGGTAATCTGGCCTCTGGCGGTGCCGCCGGTGCCACCTCTTTGTGCTTCGTCTACCCTCTCGACTTCGCCAGAACAAGGCTTGCTGCTGATATCGGCAAAGGCGCAACGGAGAGTTCACTGGTCTTGGGAACTGCCTTGCCAAGATCTTCAAGTCTGATGGTATTAAGGGTCTCTACCTTGGCTTCAATGTGTCTGTCCAGGGCATTATTATCTACAGAGCCGCTTACTTTGGTGTCTACGATACAGCTAAAGGTAAGCAACTAATCGGAAACATCTGATGCGGATAAAATAAATAGTTTGTCAAAAACAACTCAATGACATTGCCCGACTCTTATCACTCAGGTATGCTCCCAGACCCCAAGAACACGCACATTGTCATCAGCTGGATGATCGCCCAGACTGTCACAGCTGTTGCCGGTATCACTTCATATCCCTTCGACACCGTCAGACATCGTATGATGATGCAGTCTGGACGCAAAGGAAGTAGGCCAAAGGATTGTGCAATTTTGGCACAAGCTTGTTTTATGGATGATAATAAAAGCTGTTTGATGATGTGTCAAACGCATATTTTTCTTTCCAAAAGCTGACATTATGTACAAGGGCACAGTTGACTGTTGGAGAAAGATCACCAAGGATGAAGGTCCCAAAGCTTTCTTCAAGGGTGCCTGGTCCAATGTGCTCAGAGGCATGGGCGGCGCTTTTGTGCTGGTCCTGTACGACGAGATCAAGAAGTACACATAAACATTCTCCATCCATCGTGTCCATCCCACCAAAGGGAACCCTGAGCGCTGTGTATGTCTTAATTGTGTAGAGTGTTAACAACCAGGGAGAGTAGGGGAAGTGTACTTAGCCAAGCTGACCCAGGGGTGGACTGAGATCATGTGATCATCGGTGGCCACTGCACCCTCCACCCCTACATGTGTAAATATATTTAGGTCTACCTACTGCCCCTCAGTTTTAGCTGACTTTCCGTCTGGTCTGGTTGATTTTTTTTCTAGACTACATGTTCTTCAGTGGCTCCTCTCTTCTGTAGCAAGCTGAACATTTATTTCCGGACTGTAGCAAGTGGCTGTACACTGGAAAGCTGACTGTTCTTGTGGTGTATTCCACCTTATGTGTTCTTTTAATAAGAATAAAGCTGAAAATACAACTTCTGCTTGGTGCTTTCCTGTGTTTCTTTCTGTGACATTATAATACTTCTCACTCCAGATTTGATAACTTTAATGATCAGAATAAAAAAAGTTTTGTGTCAGCTCAGTAATGGTAATGGACTCATATTGGCCTCATAGTTTAAATTAATTCACAAACATTTAAGCACATTTTAATGCATAGAATAAAGAATAATTGTGGGAACTGCATTATTCCTATATTACATAAAACATGCAGTACCATTTAAAATGGTTTCCACAAACATATTATGCAGCACAATAGTTTTCAACACTGATAAGAAGAAATGAGCATCAAATGAGCATATTAGAATGATTTCTGAAGGATCATGTGACACTGAAGACTGGAGTAATGAATGATGCTGAAAATTCAGCTTAGCCATCACAGGAATAAATTATAAATAAATATTAAAATAGAAAAGTTATTTTAAATTGTAATATTTCACAATATTACTGTTTTTACTGTATTTTCCATTCAAAAACATTATTAAATCTTACCAACCCCAAATGGTAGAGTATAAATATCACATTATAATATTATAATACAATAAATTATAAAATATAATTTATTATAGCATTAATATATCATAAATTATAATACCTTAAAAAATAACTAAAACCATTACTTGATGTTGCAAATTTAAAAAATGATCTGTAATTAAATATATAATTAACTGTTTGTTAACTGCCTCAATTAAAGTGTCACAAATCATGCTATTATAATAGTAATTGTCCAGTTAAAGCTAGTAACAGTAGTTACAGTAATGCGAGTCAAACAACATCTTCTGCAAAAATGACTACCGTGTCGGTCTCTGTGCTTGCATAATAACCTTGTTAGCCTTCCATGTGTCAGCAAGTGTCAGTCAGCCTTTTCAAAAGCAGTTCAGGAGTGACAGATGAATGACTAGCATTCATTGTAACAGACGGGACACTGTCTGAGCATGTGTGTCACTTCATACGAGCATGCCAGGTATTCAAGTGTCACAGCTGAGTCAATAAACAAATCACTTTTAATTTCCGAATAATGTAACAACACTGAATACCATAACTAATAATAAAGCATTTATTTCACATTAGATTTACAGACACGTCACGTAATTGATTATTCTGATAACAGCAACAGTGGCTTTAAAATTATACACAGCTTAAATATATATAAAGTATTTTTGTTGTCTGTCACATATAGGCACTAGTTTACATTTGAACGTCTCAGAAAATGGAATGTCACACTTTATGGTCCCCGAACAGTGTTGACTGAATTCATTTAGTCTCCTAGCACATCAAAAAATGTATATAAGCCACACACTGTCAGCAAACGTTTAGCTGTGTAGAATTTCTGACAAATATTTGAATTTATATCACTCCACATCTGGACAAATTACCATGAGCTCAAGCAGTTTGAACTTTTGCAACATTCACTCAGAATGTTTGGTGTTGTGACCTACAGTCAGATTTTCTACTTACAGTCAGAGCAGAACATGTACGTGAAAGTGTCGGGGGTAGAGAGAGAAGGAAATAATTTAGGATCAGGACCATGCAGGCCGTGGTATTGTTCTGCTGAGTTTAGCCGTTTCCGGTCTAGATTTGTGAGGACTACTGCCTGGTCTTGAAATCCTCCCTGTTTTCATGGAAAGACAAGAGTTGTGTTAATTGTACTGTTAATTTGAGATTTAACAATATTAAATATTTTAACAGAATTAAATGCATGTAATGCAGTTAAAGAAGTTATATTATTGAGATTACAAAAGTTGAGTTCAATATACAAAGTTCTTAGAGAAGGAGCTCAATATTTCTTCTCAGAGAAGAAAAATGAATGCAAACAGAATTCTATATTATATATTTTATGCACTACAGAATACACAATATTTATATAACGCATAAGATATATTTTAATCGTCAATAGCGCAAGCAATTAGTTGATTATTCCTGATCTCTGAAACATACAGCTGAATATGGAATAATGCAATAGGATGACATGCAGATAACTGAACATAAAGTGGTTAAATTTGTATGTTGTGTGTAAGCATGCACCAGATGTTTTGCTGGACTTGAGTTTGACTGGTGGAATAGCTGTAACGGGTGTTCCCAGGTATCGGCAATGCCGCTGGTAATCGGTTAGCTGTTCATCTCGGGTCATGCCAGGAGTGGGCTTCACAGATTCTAGACGCTTCAGGAATGCCTGCAAGCATACAACACATATTTACACATACAATGAATTCTCTGCAATGTCCAAAACAATGACCTCTCTGCCATAGTTAATATTTTACAGGCAACAAATCAAATTTGCTTAATTACAACAAGAATTATTAACATGCTTAGCATGCTGACATAGAATTCCTTTCATTATTTAGCTTGGCCAAAAAAAACTTAATATGGATCGAAATAATTGTTGAAAAAATAACTAAAGGCATCAAACAATGATTAACATCATGAATATGTTAATTAGACTGTGTATTATATAAATAATTAAAACTAATTCTGGGACAGAAAAAAAGAAGAAAAAAATAACAATAACAATCAGATAATTTTTACTTATTTGTATTAATTTAAATATTATAAGATTTTTATATCATCACAAATTTAACCGACCAAATCAAATTCATTATTAAGCATTATTAATGAATATTGCTATAATGAATAAAAGATTTAACATTTACTATAATAATATGTTTTTCCATTACAGAACTTGAAAATGTGTCTAATTGTCAAGAAAATGCCACATTGGTCTAAAAAAGACTTTAATGAAACATTTCTTCATCTCTCTTTTCTTTTTAATTAGGGGTGTAATATGACAAGTGAAATTTTCTTGACAGATTTTGTGTGATTCACCCTAGAGCTAAGGTAACATTTACTATAATAATATGTTTTTCCATTACAGAACTTGAAAATGTGTCTAATTGTCAAGAAAATGCCACATTGGTCTAAAAAATACTTTAATGAAACATTTCTTCATCTCTCTTTTCTTTTCTTTTTTTTTTAATTAGGGGTGTAATATGACAAGTGAAATTTTCTTGACAGATTTTGTGTGATTCACCCTAGAGCTAAGAGTGACATCTATAAACTCAAATTAACTTGCTTCAAAAAAGATAACCAAGAGAGTAGTGTGAATAGTACAACTACGTACTCTGAAAAGCCACAGTGAGCCATTGAGAATAAAAATAACCAGTGCATGAGGATCAGAATGTCACAAGGTGTCATGCCTCCGTATGTCGGTACAAACAGCCCTTTGGAAACCTCTCAGTAAGCAAAACCCATGAAAAGAGCTGGGACTGGAAATAGAGTAAAGGTGCTCTTAAAGAAAGACAGTGACTGTCTGGTACTCTTGTTCTTGTGTTACAGCATTAGTTGCTAGGGAGTGAAACGCTAACAAGACCTAGAGGAACATGCATTCTGAGTCACAGCTCACAGTCCTGCTTCTATTGATTAAGGAGTATTTGATTTTCCGTTTTCTTCAATTAAAACTGACAGAGAGGAAGGTCTGACTCGCTAAGGATCTGTAAGGTCTGTAAGGATGAACGAAAGAGAGAGAGCGAGAGAATTTACATGTGTAACAGTGAGCAAGTGAGAGTACAAAAGACAAACAACACACATTATGTTGCTTCCAATGGCCATGGGTTATTGAAAGGTTAGGAGAGATATCCTGACTATTTACTCACCCTGAAAAATATGGCCATATTCAAACTGAACAAATTAGATTTGTGAGCTATAGTGGGTGGCAAGATCAGTGAACAACACAGATACGATAAAACTTCAGAAGAAAATCATGCAGGTTTGGAAGAATGAGTAAATGATGGAAGAAATGTTATATACGTTCTCCGTCACTGAAGCTAGGGGGTGAATAGAGTATAATGTCAAGCCCAGCATGTGTCTCTTCTCGCCTCAGTCAGGTGGTAACTGTCTCTCTGCTTTCACTGGCTGTGGCTGACAGCCCGCCCCCTCCCCCCACCACACACACACACACACACACACACTTTTACAGAATACTAAAATAAACACTCACAGAACACCATTACATCACTGAATAATATCACAAAGAACAAGGGAACAAAAATGATAAATACTGGTGTGTCTGAGAGAACACTGTAAATAACAAAATCCAAACATACACTACCATTAAAAAGATTTTTCATGTTTTTGAAAGTCTCTCATGCTCACCAAGATTGCATTTATTCGATTAAAAAAAATGCAGCAAAATTTTGAAATATTATTACAATTTAAAATTACCTTTCTATTTGAATGTATTTTAAAATGTAATTTACATGTCACATGATCCTTCAGTCTAATTTGCTGATTTTGTGGTCAAGAAACCTTTCTTATTCGTGTCGAAAACAGTTGTCCTGCTTAACATTTTGGTGGAAACGTGATACATTTTTTCAGCATTCTATGATGACTAGAAAATTTAAAAGTAAAATGTTTTTGTAAATGTAAATGTCACTTTTGATCAATTGAGTGCATTCTTGCTGAGCAAAAGTATTAATTTCTTAAAATAAACTCTAAAAAAATCGTTTGAATGGTAGTGTACATGAATATGCTCAGCATGAGCACATTCAAACACACAATCTCTTGCTTGACTGAGGCTGACAAATAATTAAAGTTTCTCTCTTATAATAGGAGTTGCTCTCAGTGTGATTAAAATGAAAATCTAATTGAATGTTAGATAGGACTTCACTGCATAATTGAGGCAAGTTGGAGCTAAACTCTGCAGGACACCGGCCCTCCAGGACCGAGTTTGGGCAGCCCTGACTTAAAAGATAGGCAATAGCTCCCTCTAGTGGAGGGAGAGAGATGAAGGCAGGTGTGTTGAGGCAAGTTGGAGCTAAACTCTGCAGGACACCGGCCCTCCAGGACCGAGTTTGGGCAGTTCTGACTTAAAAGATAGGCAATAGCTCCCTCTAGTGGAGGGAGAGAGATGATTTTTTTTTTTTGTTATATTAAATAAAAGACTGACACTGACCAGGTTTTCCTTCTGAATTCGCTCTTGCTCTCGCTGTCTGTTGAGGGTGCTGTGGTAAAGCCGTACGGGTGGTGCAATACTCCTGCGACTGCTGGTTTTGGAGCGGGCGGAGCTGCCACTTCGCAAATGTGCCGATGAACGGGACAGTTCACATAATAGCCGCTGGTTCTCCCGGTCGATCTCCTGTACCTCTTCATTTGTGAAGGAATAGTTCTTACGTCTGCTGCCAACACTACAAGGGCTGGAGACCACGAGTACTCTGTCTAACTGTTTCTCTACTTTTAAGAACACTGCAAAGGGAGAGAAAGAGATTCAGCTACAAAAGAAACAGCTACAGAGCTATTTATATCTCAATTCATTGCACCAACCTGGTCCATCCTCTCCTTCAGAACTTATACTGCCCTGACCGTCCGAAACATCATTCGCAACCACCTTCTCAGTAACACTGGGCTGTTGTTGAACAGCTGCTGCAGGTTCAGAGGGCAAAACCACATCAAGGGACTGGAAAGGACTAATATTTGGTGTCGAGAGAGGGGTAACATCAGTGACCGTGTCTTCAGATTCTGCCGTTTCTTTTTGTCGCTCTTTCTGGTGAGCTGAACTGACCCGCTGATGTTTTACAGGTGATTTCTGAGATCGAAAAGAGCTTCTCTCTTCACTACTGTGGGAGGACACAGGATCAGATGATGATGAACGGCTACGACTCAGCTTGTGGAGTTTTCCAGCAGATTTTTTAGGTGTTCCATGGGACAATCCCTTATGTTTCGTTGATCGTGTCACTGGAGATCTCGCATCCTCCTCACTTTCATCGTCACTACGATGGTATCCATCATCATCATCATCACTGTTAACATTATCATTGGTTTTCCTGAGTTTAAAATCATCATCAGGCTCTCTTTCCTCATCAGATGAGTATGAATACACACTGGATCCTTCATCTGATTGACTGCTGTTCATAGTCTCTGAGGTTTTGGCACTTGGGAGTGATGAAGAGCCTTTGAAAAAGCCATCAACACTTTGCCGCTCTCTTTCATATTCTGTCTCTTCACTTTGCCTTCTCCTGCCCTGGTTTGAATCATCCTCCAATCTGGCTTTATCTTCACTGTTCCTTTTACTTTGAGCTTCATTTCCTAACTGATCAATTGAAACATGGGTGTCTTTTCCTGTTCTCTCATCTTGTCTTTCTGAGACTTTCTGTTTATTGAGCTGCCCATCTTCAGAACCAAGTCCATTAGCTTCACTGTCACTGTCAAAGAACGAGTGGTCAACTTCTCCCTCTAGCTCTTTGTGGCTGTACATGTCTGTAGTGTGTCTTTCAAATGTGTCCTCATTCAGTGGAATCTGAACGGAAAAAGAAAAAGAAGCTGAAATACAAATACTTTTTTGTAGTGGAAAAAAAAAACAACAACAACGAATTTTCTGAACAATTTCTGTTTTCTAAAGCAGTGGTTCTCAACCAGGGGGCTGAGGCCCACAACGGGCCATCAACAAACTAGCAAGGTAACTTAAGATACCTTAAAATTATTTTTAAAAAGACTATAAAATCACAATATCTCTTATTTTAACTCACCTCAGCAACAACCATTCCTAGTGCCCAGGGAAAAAAATATTTAATATAATTATTTTAGACATTTTTCTAGCTATGCCAAATTCTATTTATTGAAGTTGAGTAAAAGGTATTTAAAAAAAAATCTTATGCTTAATCATTGTCTAGTAAATCACAAACAACAGAAAAAAGTAATGGAGCTTTTGAATATTGCTGTCGACAGTTTGGAGTCAAAAAGGTTGAGAACCACTGTTCTAGAGATTAATAATTTTTTAATGATTGCTAAAATAATAATCAATGCAAAACCAACTGTTTTTACTTTTTTTTCCTGCTTATTGATTTAAGTAAACCATTACACAAGAATTAACACATAAGCGTTAAAATTGTTTATATAATAATTATTATTATTATTACTATTATTAGTGAAATGACTACAAAATGTAATAATTATGGAACAAGATTTTTAGTATTTACCCCAATGTTGTTGTTTTTTTTCTACTTATAAAATTATTGAATATAGAACATAGATTGCAGACCACAAAAATAAATAAATAATAAAAAACATATTTAAATAATTAATTAATTAATTAAATAAATAAAATAAAGGGGTAAAATCCACTATTATTAGTGAAATGACTACAAAATGTAATAATTATGGAACAAGATTTTTAGTATTTACCCCAATGTTGTTGTTTTTTTTCTACTTATAAAATTATTGAATATAGAACATAGATTGCAGACCACAAAAATAAATAAATAATAAAAAACATTTAAATAATTAATTAATTAATTAATTAAATAAATAAAATAAAGGGGTAAAATCCAAGGGTTCACAGTTTTACATATAGCCAAACATAACACAGTAAGTCAGTCTATAAATAAATAAATAAAGTACACCCAACATAACCGACTGAGTATACATAAAATAATAAAACCGATTATCAGTGCTTCTCTGTTGTTTCCTGGCATTAATAAAAACATCAATACAATGGAGATCCTTGCAAAGCTGTTCGGCTGTCAGGAAAACGTTAAATTAACACTTACAAAGCAAAGGTGAGAGCAGTGTAGCTGTACATGCTCATAATACACACAGAGGGGACATGTTTCCATGACAAAGGCTTTAACAAGCTGTTTAGCAAACCTTCTACAGAAATCCACCTTTAAAAGTCTAGCAAGCTCTGCTACATTTAATGTGCATATTTCATTGTATTAGAAATTAGACCATAAACTTGTGTACATACGCAAAAGCACGCCAACGCGAACTCATCCAGCTCATGAAGTTAGCACTAGCTGTGCCTACCTTTTGACATTCACACCGAAAACATGCGGGAGCTCGACACTGTCAGACAAAATCTCCAGCTGACGTACTTCATTTTATTTCGCCGTTTATCTCCAAACGCTGTTCAGAAAGATAAAAGTTAAAGATAAGAGCAAAAAACAGGCTTTTTCAGCTGTCCAGCTTGCTGCACAGAGAAGTGTGTGGGCTCGTTAGCTACTGTAACCAGGTGACGTCATTTCCTCAAATAGTTCGGCGCCGCAACAAAATGAGAAGAGAGCGAGGATAAGCAGTCTGCTGTATTTATTTCTCTTCCGGTCTTTGGGTCCTTCTCTGCCTAATACTGGCCAGATATATTGCAATGTTGCAATAAAGAGGATTTAAATGCTATTAAACGCAAGTCATGTAAATATGTGAGAAGCTTCCAAATTCTGCACTTTCATCAACTGATATTCACTGTCTTAAATATTGTTTTGAGCTAAATTTCATACGTATGCATTCGTTTATTTGTTAATGGCCAGTGTTGGGGGTAACGCATTACAAGTAACGTGAGTTACGTGATTAGATTACTTTTTTCAAGTAACTAGTAAAGTAACACATTACTTTTAAATGTATAAGAAAATATCCGAGTTACTTTTTCAAATAAGTAACGCAAATTCCCATTTATTGACTGGCAGCTCTTCAGTTCCCATGTTGAGAGAAATCAGGAGTAACTTAAGTTTCAGTGGCGTTCTGTGTGCTTTGTAAACAGGATGGTTACTGTACTAGAATAAATGTGAACATGCATTTACTCATCTCACTTGCACAAAAACAGAATCACTATTTCTCAAACTTAATTAAAATAGTGAAATGCTATATAGAATATTATGCAAACCTGCAATAATTAAATGTTAAATAAAGAAATCCACCTTTAAAAGTCTAGCAAGCTCTGCTACATTTAATGTGCATATTTCATTGTATTAGAAATTAGACCATAAACTTGTGTACATACGCAAAAGCACGCCAACGCGAACTCATCCAGCTCATGAAGTTAGCACTAGCTGTGCCTACCTTTTGACATTCACACCGAAAACATGCGGGAGCTCGACACTGTCAGACAAAATCTCCAGCTGACGTACTTCATTTTATTTCGCCGTTTATCTCCAAACGCTGTTCAGAAAGATAAAAGTTAAAGATAAGAGCAAAAAACAGGCTTTTTCAGCTGTCCAGCTTGCTGCACAGAGAAGTGTGTGGGCTCGTTAGCTACTGTAACCAGGTGACGTCATTTCCTCAAATAGTTCGGCGCCGCAACAAAATGAGAAGAGAGCGAGGATAAGCAGTCTGCTGTATTTATTTCTCTTCCGGTCTTTGGGTCCTTCTCTGCCTAATACTGGCCAGATATATTGCAATGTTGCAATAAAGAGGATTTAAATGCTATTAAACGCAAGTCATGTAAATATGTGAGAAGCTTCCAAATTCTGCACTTTCATCAACTGATATTCACTGTCTTAAATATTGTTTTGAGCTAAATTTCATACGTATGCATTCGTTTATTTGTTAATGGCCAGTGTTGGGGGTAACGCATTACAAGTAACGTGAGTTACGTGATTAGATTACTTTTTTCAAGTAACTAGTAAAGTAACACATTACTTTTAAATGTATAAGAAAATATCCGAGTTACTTTTTCAAATAAGTAACGCAAATTCCCATTTATTGACTGGCAGCTCTTCAGTTCCCATGTTGAGAGAAATCAGGAGTAACTTAAGTTTCAGTGGCGTTCTGTGTGCTTTGTAAACAGGATGGTTACTGTACTAGAATAAATGTGAACATGCATTTACTCATCTCACTTGCACAAAAACAGAATCACTATTTCTCAAAACTTAATTAAAATAGTGAAATGCTCAGAATATTATGCAAACCTGCAATAATTAAATGTTAAATAACTCAAGTATGCTAATCTTACTGTATTATCCAATGTCTTTGCTGCTGACCTGCTGCTGATGATCCAATTCAACCATATTAATGTGTACTAGAATAAATGTGAACATGCATTTACTCATCTCACTTGCACAAAAACAGAATCACTATTTCTCAAACTTAATTAAAATAGTGAAATGCTCAGAATATTATGCAAACCTGCAATAATTAAATGTTAAATAACTCAAGTATGCTAATCTTACTGTATTATCCAATGTCTTTGCTGCTGATGATCCAATTCAACCATATTAATAAGCAAAAACGAATTTAGTTAAACATCACATTTGTGTTTCATTGCTGAAGAGTGAACTTTTTTTCTGCATCCTATTCTTTACGCAATCCAGAATGGCAGCACAGCAGAAAGGTTTGTTTGAGCTGCGCCCTCTACTGTACAGACGTGAATTTACATTTCCTTCACTTTTGGTGTGAAAGGGTCTTTAAAAGATTTGGCAAAAATATAACATTTTTGTTATTAAACAAACAAACAAGCTCAACATAGATTCGAAAAAGTAACACAAAACTAATATAAAAAGTAACCGAGTAACGTAGTTACTTTTTTGGCAGAGTAATGCAGTATTGTAACGCATTACTTTTAAAAGTAACTTTCTCCAACACTGTATAATGTCAGTGACAAATCAACCATCTCTAACCATTTGAGCTGCATTGTTACAATCTGTTTCGAAATTATTTCTCAAGCTGATAAACAAGCATCGCTTTTGTCTGTTATATTATATCGCAGTACGTGACCACTGTACATGTTTACTGATGCTGCTGCCAACTCAGTCTTAAAGGCTGGCATTCTGCTGGATTGTGGGCGTGCAGCTCATAACATTCCCTCAAAGCCTCTTTCATGTTTGCTTGGCACATCTGGCATGACAGATCCATCATCCTTACACCCTGCAAGGACAGACTTGCAAGTTCAGCGTCCTCTGCTATTAAAATAAATGCTATTAAAAAAATCATTTCATGCACTCATAAGCATGAAGGAAAAAAAATAAAAATCTGCACAATCCAACAAAATGTTATTTATCTCTGACCAACCCATTTCAACTTCAAATTCGTTTTTTTTTCTCTCAAATATGACAAATACATTTTTCGGAAGACCGTAATGTAAACAATTTCTTTATTAAATGTACTTATTAAAGCAGAGTATCTCAGAGTGATTATGAATTGATGCAAAAGTGCGTACGTGTGGAACTGCACAGCTTGTTTCGCAAGCTGTAGGAGGATTGATGCAGAGTCACGTGACAATGACTGCCCATTCTTGATCCTGATTGGTCTGTATCATAGAACAACGTGGTCTAAATAGCTTTGTACTTCTGCTTTTTCGTTGTACATGGATCTGTGTGCTTGTTTGATTGCAGGACACTTCTGAGCAACAGCGGAGTGACTGTCAAACACGCCCAGTCAAACTTTTATACGGCATTATTCTCTGTGAAATTATCCAGACATCAGCTACTATGTTTTTGCTTGAGACAGAGTCGGTAAGTCAATTTAATTCATTTATACAATTATGGGTATGAAAAGTCAGAATCATGTTTAACCAAGTAACAACAACAACAACAAAAAAAGCGTTTCAAGCATTTAAAAACGAAAGCCATAGGCCTACTATTTGTCAAAACGCGCTTTAAAACTTTTAGAAAACAATGTCTTTAAATTGAAATGTTGTTTGTGTTTCATTGTGTATCCATTCAGCTGGACTGCATGAGTAATCTTTTTGAAAGCGGGTTTGCGGTGAATGGAGGTCTGAATGGTCGCGGACAGTCTCCAGCGCATCTCGCGGCGTGCGGAGGTCAGGCCTTCTGCTTGCTTTGGCTGCTGCAAACCGGTGCTGATGCAAACCAGCAGGTACAAAGTATCCTCCGTTAAGCAATATTACTTGGGTTTCTGTTGTTGATGACTACATTCCTGTCAGTTAATGTGTATTCCCAGCCCTTTTGCATTTTTTTTTTGTTTGTTTCAACCTTTTATGTGATTTTCTTAAGGACGCGAGCGGAGAGACACCCATGCATAAAGCAGCCAGAGCGGGCAGTTTGGAGTGCATCAGTGTGCTGATGGCAAGTGATGCACATTTCGAGTAAGTGGATGGTTTGATAGTTCCTGTTTCAAGCATTTGTTTGATAGAAACTGCCAAATATTTTCAATATGTATTTATTTTTTAGTTTTTTTATTATCTGTGTTTTTTGTTCTGTCACTGTCATTCTGTTGCACTGTGGAAGCTTCTGTCACGAAAACAAATTCCTCGTATGTGTAAACATACCTGGCAATAAAGCTCATTCTGATCCTGATTCTGATTATGCAGTACATTTAATGTCTCTATATCATGTTATAATCATATATTGGTTGGAAATCATATTTTTCATAACTTTTAATAATCATAACATTTTAACTTCACTTTTTCTTGAGAATATTGTTTTCATTGACTACAGTTGAATCGATTTTTCTCATATTCTCAATATTTTCTGGCATTCCAACATTTTTATTATTATTATTTTTGGCGTCACTTAAATAGTCCAAACTTGACCAAATATTAGCAATGGATCTTATGAATTCTGTGACGTTTTATGATGTAAGTTGGTTTGTCTCACTTTACAACATTTAATCTTATTAAATTAAAATAATAATATTAATACAATATAAATATTATGTAATATTTTATTAACATTTTAAAAGATATGAAAATTAGCTAAATCAAAAGACACTGAAATATGTTAATTTTTATATAAAATGTATTTCTATATAACATATTTATTTTATATACACTACCATTCAAGTTTGGGGTCTTTAAGATTTTTAATGCTCACCAAGGCTGCATTTATTTGATCAAAGACAGTAAGAACAGTAATATTGTGAAATATTCTTACAATTTAAATTAACTGCTTCTGTTAATACATTATAAAATGTAATTTATTCAGGTGATGGCAAAGCTGAATTACTCCAGCCTCCAGAAATTATCATCATTATTGTTATTATCATCAGTCTTGAAAACAGCTGTGCTGCTTAATATTTTTGTGGAAACCATGCTATTTTGTCAGATTCTTTGATGAATAGAAAGAACAATTCAAAAACATAATTTAATTGAAATAGTTTTTTTTTGTAATAGTGTAAAAGTCTTTACTGTCACTTTTGATCAATTTAATCTGTCTTTGCTGAATAAAAGCATTCATTTCTTTCCAAAAATTAAATGAAATAAAAATAAAAAATGACTGGCCACAAACTTTTAAATGGTGGTGCATAAAAAAAATAAAAAAAAACTAACTTCCTCACTGAAAATGTCTTAACTTTTGCTATATGTTAATTGTATTACTATTGTTGAAATAATTAAGCAACAAGCACATTTAAAACAGTGCTTGAGATGATCCCACAGAATATAAAAAAGTCCAGTACACTATATTATAGACATAAATGTGCAAATTAATTTTCAAAAGTTCAAAAGAGCTCAAACATAACAGGAATGTCCCATTGTTTACCTGTTAAAGCAAACGTCATCGATTATAGTCAACAACTATAAACATTTTTTGAATATGAACACTTCTCCAATTAACTATTCCTTTTCCATTCAGCATTTGCAACAACGCTGGACAGACTGCTGAAGATATTGCATGGTCTTGCGGGTTTGATGAGTGCGGGAGGTTTCTGAACATGCATCGCAGAACACAGGACTTGAAGAACGCTTCATTATCATCCCTCTCTGAACGGCACACGCTGAGCAGCACTCTCGCAGGACAGAAGAGAGGCGCGGACTCCAGTGCTCAAGATGGGAAGAAAGCACGGGACTGGTGATGAATGTTCTCATAAAGAGAGAGAATTGAAATTTAAAATAGGCTGTTTAACCATTACTGGAGTGAATGGTAAACAGATGTATCAGTATTCAAAGACTGAATTTCCGGTGGACATTTGGTATTGAGCCTATACTGTAGCCTCAACAGTCTAGATAAATTGACACTGTTCTGGGGTCAGTGATTTGGGGTCTTAAGTACGAGAGGAATGACTGACACTGGTACTGTAGAACTGCTCGGAGCTCAATGTGCTCAGCAAATGTTTTACCTGCCAACAAGAGCAGATGGGAATCAAGGAAAAAGCAGATCATTTTCTTAAAAGGGGGAGACTTCTGGGTTTGTCACTGGAAAAAGTGAGAAAAATTGAACTTGGATCACGTGCATTGTATAAAAACCTTGATGTCACTGAAATGCTTTATGACAATGTTTTATGACAGTGTGCAAATGAGCAGAACAGAAGACAGTTGACTTGCCGCCAAGCTTGGCTAATCAAGACATTCTTAATATGGCAAGATTAGCTAAGCCGAGGTTTAAGTCTCCCCATGTGGAAAAGTCAAGAGACTTTGCAATAATCAATGAATAAGGAAACATTTGCTGTTTGAGTTATAGCTGCTGCTTCTTTTTATTGAATTGCAGGAAGCCTTATCTTGCGCCGTAGATGTTCAAAGATATCTTGTGAATATGATGTATGATGACCTTGTAAACTTGGGCAGTCTTGAGGATATGATGTCATTAATATCATCCATTTGCAGCCGGACTGAAAATCATGTGAGATGTTGCTGAAATCAACGTAACTTTTAGCGTGACTCAAAGCGGATGTTAAAATAGGCATGGACGTTTAAAACATTGTAAGGACAATGAGTAATAAATCACTTTTCTGTGACATGTGGGTTTGCACTCATTGAAACAATGAGACTTCCAGTGAATCCATGAATTCAGACGACAAATAAAAGCGAATAAGTGTCATGCACATGACTCAAATGGTCTTGGGTCTCTGGGGAAGGCAGAGGTTGTAATAGGCATTTTGATCCCAGAACTCTGGCCCCTTCCATCCACACCAGCCCTGAAGAAAATACAAACACACACCATTAACAAATGACCGGCTTAAAACACTGAGCTATTGATTCACCAATGAGATACCTCATAATACAGTAATGTGGAGAGCAATATAAATAAGACATTAGAGAAACTTTAGGTGCAGCAAAATCTGTCATTTTATATTTGACCGACATTTTTTGTCGTTCTGACACAATTTAAACAGTTTCTAATGTCTGAACTATTAACTGATGTTTTAAATGATACACTTCAAATCCAATGTGTCTGGGTATAATGGAATAATATCATAAAAGATTATTATTATTGGTGTTATTAAAGTAGCTTGTTATCATTAAGGCAGAATAGAATTTTATATAATTTTTATATTAAAATGAAAAGGTCTGACTAGAGTAGTGACATTGTCAAATGTACCTTATCAGTGATGGTCTGCAGGTCTTCTCCACCAGTATAGTGAGGGTCCAAGATAAGAAAGCGTATTTGTCCAGTGTTCTCACTCCACACTACGCCTAGAATAGTGTGTGCAAGTATTCCCCCACCTGGTGAAAAAATATGGCTTTATTTTTCAATTACCGTTTACATATAAAAATAGCAAAACAAAAAATCTACATTAAAAAACAAGCAATATTATCTATACACTACAAAAGAATGAGGTTGGTAAGATTTTAAATAAAATATTTTTTACAATTAAAATAATTGTTTTCTATTTTAATACATTTTAAAATTGTATTTATTCCTGATGACAAATCAGAAATTTCAGCATCATTACTTCAGTCAAATCATTCTAATCTCCTGAATCTGGTTCTCAATAAACATTGCTTATTACCAATGTTAAAAAAAAAATTTCAGTACTCTTTGAGAAAAAATATAAAAGTTAGAAATCAGTAGAAAAGAACAGCAAAGCCCAAAGTTTTGAATGATAGTGTATACTACAAGTGTGCTGGATCAGATGTTCATTATAATAATATCAGTTTTTGAGGGGGGAAACCTTGCTCCTATCCAATTACAAGTTGAAGGAAGGCGCTGAAGATAATGTTAACGCACCGATCATGACAGGAGTTCCTTCAGTCTGAAAGTGGTTGGCCAGCTCTCTGCCCTTGGTGGCCAGCTCAGATCCCTGACTTTAACAGAAAGACAATCATTTTTAAAATTCAAACTATTCAGAAACTTGTAAACCTATTTCATCATAATCTTGCATCTGCTTTAGTTAAGCTTAAAGCTGGAATACACTACTGGACTTTTGCCCCGATTTTCAGTCTTGAGGAGTTGACACTAGTTGCCGAAAGTCAGAGCCAATGGAGCAGTCAGAGTTGACAGATTTCACAGAAAATTGCACAATATTTCAAACGTTTTAGCTTTTAGACTATGATTCCCATCCAGTCAAGGATATCAAACATGTCTGATATTTTATTTTGAGCTGACTTTATATATTTACATATTGTTGTGGTATTGTGTGATCCTTAGTTGTTTAGTTTATGATGCTCAGTTTTCTTCTGTAATCATTTACAAATTAGGCAAGTGCATGATGCCTAGTTTTTACAATTTGTTCAGATTTTAAAAGTTGTGTAGAGTATTCCAGGCTTTAACCAAAATGCATAGTCACTTGTGTGCGGTGGTATACAGAAGAAAAAACGTGTCCAGTTTTTCAGAACCTACTCCAATATGATCTGTTATGGCCATTACCACCCTAATCAATACACACACACACACACACACTTTGTCTACCTGACAAACATGATCTTTGAGGTGACCCCCAGCAGCTGGTTAAGGACAGCTTGAACTTCGATGGAGCCAATCCACTGACGTGAACTCACAAAACGTGGCTCTTTATCCCCAACATCCACAAGAGCCTGAAAAAGCACCAAATGTTTGGTTGTAACAAGGGTTGCTCCTCTTAAATACATAGAACAAGACAGCATAAATTGAACACCATCCCATAAAGTGACAATTTTGTTTACCTGCTGGATCTGTGTGTGTGTGGGCACAGCCGTCTCCACATATCCTTGCTGCTGAAACCAAGAGAAAATAGTCTGAAGGGAACGATATGCACATCCCCAGCCATTATCATCCACGTGATCCTGCATGTAGTGATGATAACTGTACACACCCTGCACCAGATACAGCTAGAGAGAAACACAAGACAAAGACAAGATTGTTAATGGTTAAAATTGAATTTCGCAATCAAGAGATTTTGCACTTTAAAAAGTGCTCATGACATATTCAGCCAGCTGTAAACGGGGTAGTTTACCGATAAATGAAAATGTTACCATCATTTTACTTACCACCCATGTCATTTTCTTTCATATTTGTCATCAATCATGTCAATCAGATGTGTCTAAAGTCTCCATTTTGAAATTAACAAGCCAAATTTTTAAACAAGTACAAGGGGAGATTTGATCTGCTTCTCACCCTGAATTATCATATGACTTCAGAAGACTTGGAATATAATATTAATAAGACGTATGGAACATTTATGATGCATACTACAAAATTCTCATTTTGTGTTCCACAGATAAAAAGGTAAATAAATAAGCTAACATGTTTAGAAACGACAAAATGAATTTCATTTGTGGGTGAATTATTACTTTATTACATACGGTCTCACCTTAGCATCCTCAATGTTGGGTGGGTTCAGGTGTATGTGGGGATTGCGGAGGTATCCGTCTTTATAAGCTGCATCAGGGAAATGAAAGGCATTGGCACGTCTCAGGTATGGCCTGTCACATGGTAATTTAAACTTCCTGTGCAGATCCTACACACATAGGAAGTTGACATGGTTTAGGGACCACACATGTGGATCAGTAATAATCAGTTCAATAATCATTGAGACATTGTGCTTCCTCTGATGAAAACGTTGTGTGTGTACTGTGTACACTACCGTTCAAAAGTCTGGGGTCGGTATGTTTAACTCATGTTTAATTGTTTGAAAGGACCAGTCCAGGTCTCTTATGCTCACTTAAGGCTGCATTTTTATAATCAAAAATACAGTAAAACAGTAATAATGTGAAATATTATTACAATTTAAAATAACTGTTTCCTATTTTAATATATTTTAAAATGCTATTTATTCCTGTGAGGACAAAGCTGAATCTTCAGCATCATTTCTCCAGTCTTCAGTATCACATGACCCTTCAGAAATCATTCTAATATGTTGCTTTGCTGCTCAAGAAACATTTCTGATTATTATGAATGTTAAAGACAGTTGTGCCGTTTAATATTTTTGTGAAAACTGTGATACATTTTTTTCAGGATTGAAAAAAATTTAACATTTATTTTAACATTTATTTGATTTTTTTTATTGAATTTATTTATTTATTTTAATGTCTCCTTGCTAAATAAAATAATTAATGATTATTAATAATTTATTAATACTTAAAAAAAAAAAAATTATTCTTACTGACCCTAAACCTTTGAACGGTAGTACATTTGTTCATGTCTTGCCTCTCTGACGGCCTGTAGCTGGCTATCTGGCACTCCTGCAGGGTAGATTACAGTAATGAGTCCAGCTGGTTTAGGCAGTTGAAAGTGAAATGGCTGTGGCACCAGGAAAGATGAGCCCTTCCTGTAACGTAGCACCACCTCTTCCATGTCTGCTAACTGCTTATTTAATGCCTCCACCAGCCCTGTACACACACTGAACAATCACACACACACACACACACACGTCTGGTTTGCTATCCTTGTGGGGAGAAAAACAGGTACACACACACACACACACACACAAGATTGTGCTGAACTTCACAACCCTGATCTTAGCATTCAATTCATAGCAATAAGAACACTTCCTTATAAACCTCAAAGATTTTGACAACCTGAGCCAAAAAAAAAAAAAAAAAGCACTCACGTTGCCAGGCTCTCATCAGTGGTCACAGACAGAGTACAGTCTAAAGGCAGTGGCATCTTCACACAATGCTGCTGTGTGCTCACTCGGATGAGACTAGGAGCTTCATCCCCAGCAGGTTCTGTGACCTCAAACAACAGCTTCATATTCACTACAGTCTACATAAAGATGGACAGCAGAGAGTTACTGTCAGAGTGACTGTTAACAGTTACCACCTTTCAAACAATCTAGTCAAAGACTCTCACAGGTCCAGATTTCTTCTTATCTTTCTTTTTTGATGACTTCTTTCTCCCACCATCATCTGACCTGTGGACAGCAACAAGAAAGTATCATACTTTGTTAACATTCTTACGATGCATACTACATAATACTCTACATACACAAACATTAAAGATATGAAAGACCTAACAGTACTTACTCTATACACTGCAAAATGTCTCCACATGCTGATGCTTCGGTCAAGCTTTCCACACTTGACTGGAAACCAGCGTTAGGCCATATTAATACTGGACTGTTACATACAGTGAAAACAATATTTTTTGATGATACTTTGGATCGGAGATCCTGGAAACTTTTTGATATGGTGCTTTGACTTTGTGCGCCTGCCAAAAGGAAAAATAACCAGCGTATATGTAAATGTTTTTTTCATAAAATAAAGTTAAAATTAAAAGTTTTACAAATCAAGCTCATCCTTTTATAATTTAAGCTTTACCATTTGAATTGTCAAGCTGGCAAGCAAACTCCAAGATTCCTTTCAATCGAAATATAAAGTCGCACTCTTCTGAATAAACCTGAGGAAATCGAAACACGCATCATTAACTGCTTAAGACAGAAATAATTGAGTATATGGATCGTGCTGTTCATTAATTCCCTCTGAAGCATATGTTGACAAAAGGCTAGCTCATAAACATGAACATGGTTTCACGAAAGAAAGCGGTTTGTTTTCAACAACAGTTTGTTTCAAAATAGCTTATTACCATTTTAATTCCCTCGACCAATGATCAAATTCAGCTGCGGTCACCAGAAGGCTGACATATTTGATGACGTATCATAACACGTCCGCATCTTCCTCGCGTAGTTGATTTCGTGTCACAGGGAAAATACAGTCTCTTACTGCCCCCTGCTGATCTGACTGTGACGGCGCAAAGTGTAAATGATCCAAATACAAGGCAATGACAAAAATATACTGTACGACTTTTCTGTTTAATAAATTAACTGTAAGTAAAGAATGAATGTTCTTTCAGAACAAGTAATATTGCTTGAGAATGTTTATTTAGTTTTTAGCCTTTAACAGTAAAAAGAAACAATAGTTGTGGGAGAGAGGATGAATGGCAAAAACAATTATGAAATCATGATCATTTAATATTTATTGAAAGAATATTATTAATTAATTTCTAACCAGTAGAGATTCATTTATAGAAGCTATAATAATGGCACAAATTTAAATAACATTTTACTACAATTTAAAATAACAAAAAACTATATATACTGTATATATGTATGTATGTATGTGTGTGTGTGTATATAATATCTGTCTCAGTAACATTCCCTGATATTTTTCCCAGGTCTTTGTATTTTCTCTTTCTCCTTGGTTGTATGTCTTCAAATTGAACCTTTATCTGCTATGTTGTGTCGCCTCCTATCAGTAAGAAAACATTTAAAAATAAAGCCAACTTGTAAATAGTGAACATCATCAACATTTACAGTTTGTTTCAACTAGTCTTACTTATAGGATGCTGAGCTGGTGGACTTTGCTGTGGTGGACTGTAAAGCAAGGCTCTCAGAGGGTTTCCCTGAAAGACCAGCAGCTTTGTTGTTTCCTTTCAGCTGCAGTGAGATGCTGTTAGTAAGGCTGATATATTCCTGATGGAGCCTCTTTACTTCCTGACGCAGTAGATTCCTCTCAGTCTCTACAGTGAGCAGGCAACATGCTAGTTCATCCAGCTGCTCCTGAACTCTCTCTGCTCTACGTTCAGCATCTTTTATGACCTGACTGCTGTGGTGCAGACTCTCTCTTAAGAGTCTGGTTTTCCTGTTGTAGCTGCGTTATCTTCCTCTCTTCGACTATTTCTGAATCCCGTTTCATTCTTTGAGATTTCCTGACTGGTTCCGTTAAGTTCTTTACCTTCTCTTGGAGAACAACGACTGTTTCTCTTAGTTGCTGCTTCTCCTGGTGTTTACAGCATGAGACTGTCTCCAGATCTTCAGTCTGAAGTCTGTTCTGCTTTAAGACCTCTGTAATTCTTTGCCTCATTTGCTGGTTTTTAATGAGAAGTTGTTTGTTCCTTGTGTCCAGGTCTTTGTTGATGTATTTAACCGCTTTAAACCTCTCCACAAATCTCTGCAGCTCTGTTTTGCATTCTCTGGAATATTTCTTTATCTTTTTAAGCTTCTTTTTAACCTCTAGGTTTTCCTTCTCTAATTGTGTGCACTTTACTAAATAGGCCTCAAATGGACACTTACGGGTTTGTTTAGCACAGCCTGCTTCATGTTTCATTGCTTTCTTATTATCCTCCTCAAGACGCACGGTGTCTTTAAGGTTTGTGGTTGCTTGGGACTTGCTGTCCATAACATGGTCTCCTCCTCTTCCTCTTGTTTGCATGGCAGGGGTAGAATTTAACCCACACGGGAAACTATTGTCTGAAAATCTAGACTTCTCCATGATGTCCGTGGCACTGACAGTTCTGCTGTGTGTCGTTTATCAGGTCTATGTAAAGCTATTCGACTTCTCCTTCACCCCGTTGACTGATGCCTGTTATACAACAGCAACTTCTTTCCTTTTGTGTGGGATTCCTGAAAAGGATAACCTTATTTATCTCAACTGTATTTAGAGTAGCAACCCAATGCAATTAATTGCATTTGAACTCATTTTATTTCTTGCGTTTAACCAAAAACAAGAAATACAACTTTATCATTAACTGTGTAACTAAACCAACCAACAAACAACGTGACTAAGTAACGTTAACGTTAAAACTAATTTAAGGTCCGTTCACACCAACAATACAAATAGCCTAAAGAGAACTGTAACCATATCATTATTATAACCAGGATTTAATTCAATATTTAGAATTAGAAAATGAATAGAATATTAACAAAGCATGAGTAAATAAACATTTATTTACAATACTCCCTTGAGGCCTACCGTAACAATGATTGCAAGATCACTTCATTAAGCACCTAATATTTTGTAATTTTCGTCTCATTAGGATATCCAGATATCTATTTTTGGGTGAGAAAGTACATTACCGCGAAGAGGGGGACACTTACTGATCATTTGTTTATGCTTCTTGCTTCGATTCATATTTACTTTAGTTTGATAGGTGTATCTATGGTAACCTCGTGCGGTTCGCGTCAATACTGTACGTCGCCGCGTGAGTAACTTAACGTTTTTTTTTCTTCATTCCCTTGTCTCTGTTCAATAACCGATCGCATGTCTAATTATGTTATCGTAAATAATAAATATAAACCGCGTGTTAGTCCGAATATTGTTTCTGAGGGTAATATTGACAATCGAATATGAAAATTGTAAGGTTAAATGTTTTTTTTTTTTTGTAATAACATTTTTTAAATGCGATCTGTGTATAAAACAGAATAAATAAAATTCATGTAAAAAATATATTATTTATTAGTATTTATGATACATAGCCTATATTTGGCTAGGCCATGGCAGGACACTGCATCACTCAAGGTGGCAGTAATACTCCAAAGCAGACTTTTCTTTACAAGTGATGACAGAAGAAGAACAAAAATGAATTTTGAATTGAAATGAATAAATGCTTGACATATTTTGAATTCATAAATTCTTCTTGTGACATGCATGCACATCAAAAATGATGGCAATGATGTAAGGACACATTATGTTGTCAGGAAAATGCTCCCCTGTCTTGCTCAAACACACCTGACAAGAGATATGATTCTCCAAAAAACAAAACCTTTATTCATACAAACTTATTTCAGTCAACACACCCTATTCCTACAAAGTGCAAAATAGCACACATGACATGACAATGCACTATCCATAAATGTGTCTCTCAGTATTTGGTTGACATGATTGTGCATGAATTGTGGTAAAACTTTTGTGTCTGTGGTTAAAACAAGATGTTCATGCACTGAGTAGTTGAGTTGCAGTTGGTGCCCTCATGCAATCAGAAGAACAACGAGAAGGTCAAAGGTCGGGACTCTCAGGAGGTTTGGCCCGGGCATGAGCGTGGGTTTCACAGTATAGCTCATCATCTATGAAGTAGTACCCTCTCTGCTTTAGATTTTCCTCACATTCGGTGCACACAAAACAGTCCGGATGACGAAACTTATCCTGAACCTTCACAACCGTCCCACTGAGAAAACAGAGACAGAGCCAATCAGAGACAGCCATCGAAAAAGAGACAGGGAGATAGAAATGGTAACCTGGATTCATGAGATCTTACTGATCCCAAACTTTTGAACAGTAATGCACTTTTATATGTTCATTCCTTTAGGTGTGAAAGTGGGAAAAAATATGAATACATAGGTATCATCACGGTTATCAGCCCATATTAGAGGAATGTTGTCCATTATTGGACAATACTAGTGTTTAGAAATGATTAAGCAAATCTCAAAATAAATATCCACTTTTCATTCTGTACATTGTTATGTTGTGATGCCTAAATTCACTTGTAGCCTAATAATACTGAAAATGATTGCTTTTATTTATTTATTTTTTTTAAGCCAAAGTTTGTAGAATTTAAAAAATGTATCACTTATTATCAGCCATAACATGATATATATATATATATATATATATATATATATATGGTTTATCATATTTGACAGAATTTTTCTTTCTTCTGTTGAAGAAATACTTGGTGGCTTCTATGTATAACCAAGAATAAAAATAAAAATAAATGTTTTGACAATGAGCAATGACTCAAGTGGCCTGACTCACACTATGCCGTTACCACACTTATCACACATCGGTAGCTTGTGCAAGTTCCCCGCCGGGGCAGATGGCTTGGTCGTGGGGGCACAGACTTTCCTTGTCACTAATGGACGTGTACCTGTCAATCAAAAAGATCGGAATCCCAGTACCCGTCATGTTTACATTACAGTAAATCCAAATGATTCCAATTCAATTGCAGATTTCAAAAGTACCGATTATTTGTACCCTAAACATTGTTATCTGATTCTAATATTCGGTAACGTGCATTACATCTATTCAGAAACTGTCACTAAACTTATGTGAGCATAATTGGCATTTTTCTCTTCATGACATATCTTAAGGAAATATTCTAAGGTTGGCATGGCTAATATTGTCATATGTAAAGGGGTCCTATTATGCTTTTTCACTTTTTCAACTTTAGTTAGTCTGTAATGTTGCTGTTTGAGCATAAAAAAGATCTGCAAAGTTACAAAGCTCAAAGTCCACTTCAAAAGGAGATATTTTATTTCACAGAAATCACTTTTCAAAACCTACAACGAACGACTCGTTTGGACTACAACGCATATTTTCCGGGATTTGTGATATCACAAATACAGACGAATGGGACGATTACACTGAAGCTCGCAGTGGTAAGGGGCATGTCATTTCCCGACCAGGCGCCGAGTGGTGCCAATCACAACACACACTGGCCTTGCTAACCAATCACAGCACATTTCGTATTTCAGAAGGCGGGCTTTCATTTGATACAGGAACTATTCGAGCCGTTCATGCCAGACTAAAGAGGTGTTGTAATAATATAAAATATGTGAAAAATAATGTGTTTTTCGAACAACCTAGTATGAGAGCCTGTTCTAGTACACCCCCAAAACAAAATCAAGACTTTGTAAAAGAGCATAATAGGACCCCTTTTAATGGATAATAATGGATAATAGTATTATCTTATGTAACTGTAGAACTGTGTACTGTATAATACAATATTGATGCTGTAGATCAGTGTTACATCTAATATTTAGTATAATATCTTGTGTACTGCATAAAAAAATAAATGTTCAAAGTTGTAAATAAAACACAAATTACTGGAGTATATTTTACAAGAAAATACTATTTCAGTTGTTCTACATCAAAATGCCACATTTAATTCAATGTGTTTAATTCAATGTGTTGAACT